CCCGGATTCCCGCAAGAGGCCCCTCGAAACGCCCCCCGAGGTGGTCTGCACCAAGCGCAGCAACACGGGAGGTGAGAAAGGGCTGCGGCTTGGTGTGGGGGAGCGGGCAAGGGGCCTCGCCTTTCTCCATCCTTCCCCCCCTCCCATGGCAGGTGCAAGGGATCTAGAGAGGGGAGGGGCGCCCCTCCCCGAGGCGGGGGACAGAAGGGGAAGTTGGGGAGGGGGCCGGACCCCCTCCTCCTCTTATTGAGACACGGGGCTGGGAGCTTTGTCTGCGATGAGAGGGGTTGGGGGGAGGGGGGTAGTGTAAGTGTCCTTGGGGGGGCGTAGAAGATGGGGGCGTGAATCCCTTAGGGCGAGTGTCTATGTGTCCTTGAGGGGTGTGTGATGTGACCCTTTCGGGGACAGGGGTGTTCCCCTGGCTTGCCTGTCCTGGCAGGGGGAGGGGAAGGAGTAGAGGCCTGTGGACCCGGAGCTTCCCAGCCTCCCTCCCTGGGGATGTCCTGAGCAAGGGTTATCCCAGAGGGAGGCTTGTGTGGGCCATGGGCAGGATTGTGCGTGGGGACAGGCAGGGTGGGTGTGTTGGGTGAGATGTTGGAAAGGGTGGGTGGGTGTGTAAAGCTAGATGGGAGACTGTGAGGCTAGGACAGGTGTGTGTATGTGAGTGTGAGTGTGCGCCCTGTAAGGCCTGGATGTGTGACATTAGGGATCATGAATATGACAGCATAGAGGGGGTGTGTGTGAGGGAGACAAGGCAAGAGGAAAGGGCTGGACTTCATGTTTGAGACCCTCAAGGGGGTACGAGTGATAAGGGAAGGTGTGTGCTTATCACTCCAGAGGGGGCTGTGGCAGAATATGATACTGGAGCAAGAGGGCGTGTGTGACATTCAAGGGGGTGTGTGGGGGATGCAAAAGGGCTGGCCCTGGGTGTGAGCCAGGAGAGGCTGTGTGGATCAGAGGAAAGGGGTTCAGTGTGTGTGACACAGGCGTGGCTGGGGCAGGCTGGGACCAGGAGAAGCTGCTGAGGGATGTGACAAGAAAAGGGTGTGGGTGTGACTCCAGAAAGGCTGTGGCTGGGTGTGACACATGGAGGTGTGCAACAGTGACATCAGAGGGGGTGTGTGCAACGGGGATGGTGGGTGTATGATGAGGGAGAGGCTGGGGCTTGTGGGTGAAACGCATGAGGGTGTGTGACAAGGAAAAGGAAGGATGGGTCCCTATGTGACAGGGAGTGTATGTGTGTGACAAGGAGAGGTGTGTGTGAAATGGCTGAGTATATGACATCAGAGATATGGGGATGATTGTGTGTATGACGAGGGAGAGCAGGTGTGTGCCTGTGTGTGCACGTGTGTGTGAGATTGCTGAATGTTTGACACCACAGAAGGGGTGTGTATATATGGCTGGCACGAGGGGCCCTTCCTATGTGTGTGACCCGAAGAGGTGTGAGTAGCAGAGAAGAAAAATCAAGCTGGGAAGTCTAGGTTTATGCCCTGCTGTGGGGGCCAGGGGAAGAGGAGGGGTTTGTTGGAGTTCTCACAGGCCAGCCCTCTAGCTCCCTAGGAGGGAGACCCCAGAGCAGACATGCCCCTCCCTGCGGTCACCTTGCCAAAATCTCCGCTTCCGCTAGCCCTTTCCTCCGGATGGGAGAAGGGTAGCCTCGGGCAGAGTGCACCCTTCCCTCTCTGCCAGGCACAGTAGTGGGGGGGCATCCCACCTCCTCCCCCCAGCACCCTACTAGCTGAGTTTCTTTTCCTAGCCCAGCACCCCCCATCCAGGTGGAACAGGAATCAGGGACCCCCTGGATGTCTGGAGGGTGTTCAGCAGAAATTGGAGGAAAGGGAAGTTGGGGGAGGGGTGGGAGCTTCCTGTCCTTCTTCCTGCTCCTCCACCCCCAGCACACACATGAATATGTCCCTGACTTCCTTCCCTCCTTCCTGCCCTACTGCCATTCCCACTGCTGGAGAGGGTCAGGGACCCAGGAGGTCCCAGAGCTCAGCCCTCCACCTCCCTCCTCAGGGGGAGTGTTCCACCCTTCTCTTAAAGGGGCTGAGATGCTCAAAATCTGATCGCTCAGCCATTCAGCAGCACACATAATAGTAATGATGCTGCTGCCGCTAGCAACAATCACATCCACCTGCTTGGCACCTACTAAGAGCTTGGCTCTGAGATATGGGTCAATTTCTCAATACAACCGTTGGGGAGATGATTTGAGCTGCTTCTTACAGATGAGGAAAACTGAGGCTCAGCAAAATAAAACCACTCGCCCAGGGTCACTTGCTTCTAAGTGGTAGAACTAGAATTTATCCAACCTGGGGGTGCTTGATTCCAGAGCTCTTGTGCATAACCACTGCACTATCCTGTCTGCCTCAGCCGTGGGGAAACTAGGCCAAACTTTAGGAACCATGTCCTCCAGATTCTGTCCCATGCCCTGTCCTATTCACTCATGGGGAAACTGAGGCTGGGAAATGCAAAGGGACAGGCCTCCATTGACAGAAACACTTAGGGGCAGGGACGGGCAAGGGTCCAAAACTTTGATCTCAAAACTGAGTGCTCCTTTCTGTAATATGCCTTCGTAGTTGTGGAATGCTGAGTTTGACTCTTTCCCCTTTCTGAGCCTCAGTGTCCCCAAATGAGGACCTAACAATAACCACAACAATAACAGTAATAATATCTACCAATATTATTGTTTAATGCCTTACATATAACTTCATATGATTCTCCTAACACTCTATGATGTAATAATAATAGTTAATTATACTAATGCCTAACACTTTGTGCTTGACGTTGGTCAGTCACTTAATCCTTCAGCAATTCTATTATGTTACCCACATTACAAATGAAAAACCGAGTCACAGGCAGGGCACAATGGCTCACACCTGTAATTCTAGCACACTGGGAGGCCAAGATAGGTAGATCCCTTGGGCTCCAGAGTTCAGGACCAGCCTAAGCAAGAGCGAGACCCTCATCTCTACTAAAAATAGAAAAACTAGCTGGGCATGGTGGCAGGTGCCTGTAGTCCCTAGCTACTCTGGAGGCTGAGGCAAGAGGATTGCTTGAGCCCAAGAGTTTGAGATTGCTGTGAGTTATGATGCCATGGCTGTCTTCCCAGGGCAACAGAGTGAGACTCTGTCTCAAAAAAAAGGAAAAAAGAAAAACTGAGGCACAGAGAGGTAGTGAACCCCATTTTCAGGTGAAGAAGTTGAGGCTCAGAGGGGTAAGGGGCTTTTCTAGGGTGTCACAGCAAGTTGTGACAGACTGGACATAATCAGGCTATTGCCCTTAGTGCCAGCTTGCCCCTCCTGCTTATTCCCCGGAGCAGATGGGAGAAAGGGAAGAGGTGGCGGCTGTTCACACTGGCTTCTGAACACTGTGACTGGATGGCAGATGCCATGGGGAGAGGGAAAAGACACTAAGGGCAGGAGGACTTGAGTAAAGAGGTTGAGTGGAAACCCTAGTCAAGAACTCATTGGAGAAAAAAATGACCCCAGGCTGGTGGGACAATAACGAAGAGTGACCTCCTTGAGTACAGATCATAACTTTTAAGCTGCAACTATAATGGCTCCCACACTCCTGACTGTATTTCCACCCCTAAAATATAGAGGAAGCAAAAAACCATACTATATGCAGACACACACATACATCTCACACCCCAAGCATAGCTTATACTAGCCAAGTCTCACTCTCATAGCCCTGGCTCTTTAATAACAAAGACAATGTCACCAGGGTTAAGTGCCCTAGAATGAGATCTTTCGGGATTCATATCTTGTCACTGTCATGTGCTTGGTTGGCATGGAATCTTCAGGCAAGTTATTTCATTGCCCTGAGCCTCAGTCTCCTTGTCTGGAAAATAGGGACAGTAAAATCACCTCCTTGGGCTGGCGTGTGACTGCACACATAAAATGCACAGCATGAGGCCTTGTAGATGCTAAGCACTCAGTAAACGGTAGATATAGGTATTATTATTGTCAATGCCACCAAGAATGTCATCTTGCTTTTTCCTTTTTCACTGTCCAGTGATGGTTCACCCCAAGGAAATTATACCCCTTTCTCCCTCTCAGAGGCAGTCACAGCTCCAAGACAGCATCACACCTTTCAGCACCTCACCCTACAGAAACACACTCCAGTTGTATTTTATTTCTCACCCAAACAGGTGACACCATCATTCACAGAAAGACATCACACTTCTGATGTCCCACCCCTCTTTGGCGGAACCGTCCCCACACCACACCCTCACCATCTTTCACCAGCAGCATTGCTACACATTCCCAATGACAGTACCGTTGTCACACCACAGCCTTCTCGTGCCAGAACATGACAGCTCTCTTGTCCCCAGCCCCCAAACAAGAACAGGTACCCCGAGGACAATACCCCAACATTGGTTTCCTCCAGACACACTGACACCCAAGACAACATCTTTAGGATGTATACCACTTGGGCTTTACTTTTGTCATTAATGACCCCCACAGATCAAAGCCACCTTACAGGGTCAATTTTCCAATGTTAAAATGGGCCACTCTTACTGCAACATCCCAAATCTCTTGGGTAGGCAATATTATTTAAGGAAGGGTAGAGGGAGTATTGATTGACTTTTGGAAGCCTCCAGAAGCATCACTGAAGGGAGTGGGCACAAAGGGAGAGGGGGAGAAACAGAAAGTCAATGACTAGAAAAGGAAAGGCAGCCCCTTTCCAAGGTGGAAATGCTTGAAATCACAGCAAGAGGGAGAGGTTAATCAGAAAAGCTGAAGTTATCATCTTCAGTCCTTCAGACTCTTTCACCAGGTAGAGAGAGCTGCCTGGACCACCAAGGGAAGAGCGACAAGAGGTGGGAGTAGGTGGGTGCAGAGTTCTGGCATGTAGGCTCTACTTCAGTGGAAGGAGAAATAGTTTGTCATAAGCAGAACCTTGGTTGTTTGAGCAGGTTGAGAGAGCTGATGTCTGAGGGCTCTTGTTAGCTGAGGACGCATGTCTGCCCCGCTGCAGGGACAGCTGGGAAATGGTACAAACTGGTGTCCATAGTGGGAATCCTGGGAGGCCTCAGACTCATTCCTCACAGGAGCCTCCTATGAGGAAAGGACTCCAGGAGCCAGATTCCCACTAGTCTGATACAGGGATCAGAAACAATTTTTTTTTTTAAGTTTTAAGAGACAGGTCTCACTCTGTTGCCCAGGCTGGGGTACAGTGGCATAGTCATAGCTCGCTGGAGCTTCGAACTCCTGGCCTCAGTCTCCTGAGTAGCTGGGACTACAGGGATGCACCACCCTGCTCAGCTACCTTTTTAGTTTTTTTTGAGACAGGATCTTGTTATTTTGCCCAGGCTGGTGTCAGACTCCTGGCCTCAAGCAGTCCTCCCACCTCAGCCTCCCAAAGTGCTGGAATTATAGTCATGAGCCACCAGGCCTGGCCCAGAGACAATTTTTAAATTTCCAGGGCTGGGTATGGTGGCTCACGCCTGTAATCCTAGCACTCTGGGAGGCCGAGGCAGGTGGATTCCTTGAGCTCATGAGTTCAAGACCAGCTTGAGCAAGGATGAGATCCTGTCTCTAAAAACTAGCCAGGCATTGTGGCAGGTGTCTATAGTCCCAGCTACTCAGGAGGCTGAGGCAAGAGAATCGCTTGAGCCCAGGAGTTTGAGGTTACTGTGAGCTATGATGCCACGGTATTCTACCGAGAGTAACACAGTGAAACTTTGTTTTAAATAAATACATAATTTCCTCTTTAAATAAATACCTTTACATTTTTAAAGGAATTTAAAGGAGCCAGACCTTGTCTGTCAGGTTCCTTGGTATACCCCCAGTACCTAAAATAAGGACCAGCATGTACTGGTGGTTGGGAAGGATTGGTTGGAGGAAGGGAGGAAAAAGGGAGAGAAGAGGAAAAGAAATAATAAAACCTGTACAGAGGGACATCGGAAGGTGGCATGAGAAAGAAGAGTTAGAGAGAGGCAGGATGCTATGGTTCATTTCTGTAATCCTGGCACTCTGGGAGGCCAAGGCAGGTAGATAGTTTGAGCTTAGGAGTTCAAGACCAGCCTAAGCAAGAGCAAGACCTCATCTCTACTAAAAACAAAAGAACCTAGCCGGGCGGCGCCTGTGGCTCAGTGGGTAGGGTGCCAGCCCCATATACCAAGGGTGGCGGGTTCAAACCCGGCCTTGGCCAAACTGCAACAAAAAAATAGCCGGGCATTGTCACGGGTGCCTGTAGTCCCAGCTACTCAAGAGGCTGAGGCAGGAGAATCGCCTAAGCCCAGGAGTTGGAGGTTGCTGTGAGCTATGACACCAGAGCTCTCTATTCAGGGCAACCAAGTAGGATTCCATCTCAAAAACAAAAAGGAAAGAAAAGGAAAGAGATAGAGAGGTCCAGAGGTGAGAGAATAGAGCCAAAGCCTCACTTGCAGCAGTGAGATGACACTCCTTCTCCAAGAAGCAGGGAAAAGCTTGGGGCAGCCTGGAGAGGGAGGGGATAGATATGAAGGCAGTGGGGGCCTCTCCTTCTACTTTCCAGCCAAAACCCCAAGCCCCATTTATAGAGCATTTACTATGTGTCAGACATTGCAGTAAGTACTTTACTTGTGTTTATGGTGTAGGTAATACTAGTAAATGATAATGATATCTAAGATTTCTAAAATGTTCTATGGCCCAGGACGATCCTAAGTATTGACATTTTGTCATTTAATTAATCACAATAATCCTGTGAGGTGATGCTGTCATGACCCCCATTTTATAGATGAGAAAACTGAGGCCCAAAGAGATGAGGCAAGTTGCTCAAGGCCATACAGCTTGTTGGTGACAAAATTCACTTAGTCTAGGGTTGTTTCTGCTGTTTCATATAGAACTTCTCAGACAGAGCTTGAAGAGGTGTAAGAGAGATGGGGCAGAAAATGGGGAGGGTGACCCCAGTTTTCTTTAGAGAAGGTGAATATCTTTCACCTTCAAGAGGGAAGCTGGGAACAAAGCCCTGGCTGGAGGGAAGATGGAGAATGAAAGTGAAGGAGAGAGAGGATGGAGTCCTAAGGATTGGTGAGAATTCTCTCTCCATCTTTCTGAGCATTCCAGAGATAAAAGCCTCCATCTCTGTGACAAGTTTAGGGATGAGTGTGGGAGGAAGGGGATACCTCTGTGAGTCCAGGAAGAAAATGAATTCAGAAAGGTCAAGATGATTGATGGAAAGGCACCCTAGGGGGGTTAATTACCTAATAGGCTTAATGATATGATTAGACCCAGTTAAGAGGATTGCCTTGGGCTCAGGGAAGCCCCTTAATTCTGGACCCCGCCCATGCCTGCAAGGCCACATCTAGCCCCTCTTCCTCACACCCCCGTCTTAAATACATCAAGGAATCCAGAACCTTCTATCTTAAGAGACCAAGCAGAGATGGGCAGGACTCCTAGCCCCCCTCCTTACCCCCACTTTTACTGGAGCACTTTCTCTTTTATCTGCTCTATATGTTGGGGTTTCATGTGAGACATTGAAAATAGACTTTCTTTGCTTAAAAGTAAAAGTTGAAAAGCCATTGGGGGATGATGTAAGACCTTAGGTTTTGGAAGCTGAATGGCCTGACTGCCCCTTCCGTTTCCCAGTGTTTGTTGCACACCTGCTATGTGCTCGCACACCGTTCAAGACCCTGGTACACAGGGCTGAGCTCCATAGATGTGGTCCACAGTGGACTTCTGTAATAAATCGTCCTGAAGCCATGAAACATAGGAGCCATCCCATCCTCAGAGTTCAAGGATAGCTTCCAAGAAGAAGCAACATTTGAGCAAGAACCTAAAAGAGGAATTCACTGGGGGAGGGAAGTGTCAGGCAGAGAAAATGTACAAAGGCCCTGGGGTGGAAGGAAACAGGGAACATCTGAGGAACAAGGACAGTGAGACTGGTGCTGGTTGAGGAAGATGAGAAAGTGAAACTGGAAAGGGGGGGTGGAGCCAGCTCACAAAGGGTCTTCAACTGAGAACCTCCCAGAATTTCTACCCTTGGGAGCACGTAGGGGCAGCAGTTTGGTTAGAAGAAATTAGGTAGGAGAGGTTAGGGACTTGCCTTGAGGCTGCATTAAAATAGTGCTTTGCACACCCAAGAAAATTGGGCTATAACAAAGAATGGCCAAAGCCTCACCAACCTCCATTGGCACTGCCCCCAGGTCTCTGAGCCACCAGCAGTGAAGGGTGTTGAGCAAGGACGGGGGGAGACTGCCCAGAACTGGATTTGAATCTCAACCCAGCAACTGTCTTAGTGCCCTTGGGCTGGTGACCATGGGCTGGTGCCTTCACTTCTCTGTGCCCCTCTGTGCCTCAGTTTCCTCTTGTGTAAAAATGGAGCTCATTCTACCCGCCTCACCGGGAGGTTGTGAGGAATGGACGAGATCAAGCTTGCAAAGTACTCAGCACAGCGCCGGTCAAAAGTGAGTGTCCACAGCATCTCCAGTGTCCAGCCTTCTTCCGCCTCCGCCCTCACCGCTTCCACCGGTCAGACCGCCATCATCATTGCAGTCACCTCCTCACTGGGCCCCCAGCTCTTCCACCTTTGCTTCTCACAGTCTGTTCCCCTCATGGGCATCAGAGGAATCTTATGATAACCTAGGGCAGGTCACATCCATCCCATGGCTCCCATCTCACCTAGAGTAAAGGCCAAGGCTTTCCTCAGCCCACAAGCCTCAACAGCCACCACCAGCATTGCTCTCTGCCCTCCTCACTTCCTCCCAGACATAGTGACCTCCTCATTGGCCCTGGTACAGACCAAGCAAGTCACACCCCAGAGCCCTTACACTCAGTCATCCACCACTGCCACATGCATCCTTTCCTTCCTCCCTAGCCCCGTTTTCATCAGGGTTCCACGCATAACCCTGAAGCCAGGTTGAGTTCAAGTCTCAGCTCTGCCACCGACTAGTTATGTGAACTTGGGTGATTTCTTCACCTTTGTTTTTCTCATCTGTAGAATGAGTTTTGAATGGTACCTCTGTCATGGAACCAGTGTGAAAATTAAAAGCACTGGCATTTATAACGTACCTGGAACAGGGTCCAGTGCACATGAGGTGCTGTAGAAGTGTGTAATGAATAAAGAAGGCCACGTTCTTGGGAAGAGCTTCCCCAGCCCCCCTCTGACATTGCAGCCCTCTACACACCTTCATCCCCTTTTCCTGCCTCTTTTTGTGTTCTTAGTACTTACCTCCATCTGACATGAAATATCTTGTCTGTCTCCCCACTTTAGAAGAATGTAGCTATGAGCTCTTGGCTAAATCACTAAAATTCTTTTGGCCTTGTTTGCCTGATTCACCTGTGAAATCAGGGAGCATTGTCTGTTTTCTTCTTGGCTGTTTCCCTAAACCAGTGCCAGGCACGTAGCAGGTGCTCAGTAACTATTTGTTGATGAATGAATGAGTGAACGAAGATCATTATTTGTATTATTTTCCGTACTGCTATGTTCCTGGTCATTGCTCCTATGTGCTACTGTGATCCCTGTGGTTTCCTCTGCCCACCCCATCCAGGTGCCTCCCTAGAGGTACCTTCAAAGGTGAAGACCCACTCCCTCTTGCTCTGACTCCTCTTCCCCCTGTGTGCCCCTGCAGAGGAAGGCGAATACTTTCTGAAGGTGCTGATCCCCAGCTACGCCGCGGGCTCCATCATTGGCAAGGGTGGGCAGACCATCGTGCAGCTGCAGAAGGAGACTGGAGCCACCATCAAGCTCTCTAAGTCCAAAGACTTCTATCCCGGTGAGCCCTGACCCAGGTCTCTGCCCTACGTTTCCCTTCCTTTCCTACTTCTACTTGGGCCCTAAGTGAGGGGGGAGGTTTGCCCTAAGAGTTGAGGGGGGCCTCTCCTCCCCCTATGCCCCCAAACCAAGGGGCCTGGCAAGGCCTGGCCAAGCAGATGGGGGTGGGGGCAGGGCAAGACAATGGGCCTACTGCATATTCATGAGCTTATTTGCATGATGTGCTGGCAGATGTGTCTCTTCCCACACACCTGCCCCCTCTGGTCAGTTGGAGGAGAGAGGGTTGGGAGGGAGGCAGGTGTCAGGGTGTCCCTCGGGGGTCGAGGCCCAGCCATCCATGTTACACACACATGCCCCCAATTCTGTTTGGATTTCTGTCACCCCCTCTTGCTCAGTCCTAGTCTCACTGGTTTCTCTGTCTTGGTGTCCTCCTTCGTATGTCTCTTTCTTGTTCTGTTTTTGACTTTCCTGTCTCTTGTTCCCTTAGTCTCCATTCTTCTTGGCCTCCCTCTATTTCCTCCTGCCCTGCTTTCTGCTCCTCTCTCCCTCTGTCTCTCTGGTTCTGTTTGGCTTTCTCTCATCTCTTATCCTCTTTGTCTGTCTGTCCTCTGCTTTCCCTCTCCCTCCCCTCCTCTTTCCCCGCCCTCTTCTGCCTTCCTATCTCTCTCACTATCTTTTTTTTCCCTCCACCTCTCATAGTTTCACATTCTTTCTTTCCCTTTCTGAACTGTAAGTTCCCTCCTCCATCCAGTGTGCAGCAGCCCCTCCATGGGGTCCTTTTCTGCCACTGTTGCCCTCATCGCTTCCTGCTTCTGCTTGTCCGTGTCTCCCTTTGTGTGTCTCTCTTTCTCCTAAGTCTCAGCTCCCTCCTGTTTTTTGCCTTCCCACCAAACCCTTGCCTTTAGCTCCATCTATTTCCCCAGTCATAAAATTTCCAAGGCCTCTCCACTCTTTCTATTCCCCCTCAATATCTGCACCCTTCTTATCTCCCTCTCAAGATCAAGCCTGAGCTTTGACATGTAGGAATCCAAGGAGAGCTGCCTGAATCAGATCTTTGGTCCAGCACTGGTTCTAGTTCATCCTTAATCCTCTTCAATTTTTTTAGGTCAAACACCAGAGCTGGAGCCCAGGGTCAGGACACACACACTCATTTCTCTCTCTCTCTCCCTCCTGCCCCCTCCACCCCTGGCCTCCCATCCCACTAAGCAGCTTTGGCAGGAGGTTTAGAGAAAAATCTAATGAACCAGCCGCACCTCCTCCTTTTCTCTTCCACCCTGTCCCAGTTTTCCCCGCCCCCTTCTAGCCCACAAGATATGGATGAGATCTCTGTTTGGGACATTCATTCGAGGACACTTGGTTCCTTGCCACTAGATCACATTCTGTGCCATGAGATATGTCATCCCTTCCCCAACTCAATGACACACCTCCCAGGCCAGGCAGCTAAGGAACCCACAAGGCGGCACAGTTGTTGGTTCTCTGAGGTCAAACACTATTCAGAGAAACAACTTAAGCTAGTGTCTCTCCCCAGCCCCTAGACATGCAGCCAGCCCCTCACTGCTGACATAGAGTTTCCAGATCATACAGAATGAGCCACTCCTGACTCAGAGATGCAGGACACAGCCCACTACATCCTATTTCTGTCCCTAGGACCCCCAGGAATACAAGAAATAGAGACACTACCACGAGAGACAAAGAACATTTCCCTCCGCTTCTGGGCAATATCCTTTCATTCATTTATTCAGCACACATTCTCTGAGGGCCTCCTCTATGCCAGCCTCATGCTGGATAGAGATGGGTACGTAGCAGGACCGAAACATCCCAGCCTCGTTTTCTTAGATCTCACAACCCAGTTAGGAAGACAGACCCCACACCAGTCACAACCCAGAGCAGTCAGGGCTGGGACAGGGAGGTCCAGAGGATAGTGGAAGCCCAGGCAGGGAACATGGCCCAGGTCAGGGAAGTCAGGAAGTGCTTCCTGGAGGAGAAGCCCAGAACAATAAGCAAGAATGAGCTGGGTAAAGAACCGGGAAGGCACTCGAGGAAGATGAAGCTGCATGTTGGAAGGCTGTGGTGTAGTTTGTTCAGTGTGGCTGAAGCATAGAGAACAGGTGAGAAATGACACTGCAGAAACTGAAAGTGTCCTCTGGGCCTAGTAAGTTCACCCATAAACACACAGATGTGTATAATACTGATAAGTCTGGGGGAAAAAACAACCACTCACAGACATGCTGCACTTATGTGTCTGCTACATGAAACAAAAAAACTATCTGGCCCTTAACCCCAGGGGAGGGGAAGAACACACAAAGGGTGTCCCCTCCTTGATAGTGGATCCTAAATCCTAGATTCATTCCTTTCAGATCTCATGTAGGGAAACAGACCCAGGAAAAAGCAGAAACCTGCCCAAGGCCACTCCCATGCACCAGCTCAGATCACCCAAGGGATTCAAAAACATCTGATTTTAAGCATCTGTGTGAAACTCTAGGCCCTACCCCCAGAAGAAAAGCACAAATGCACACACTTTAAAAGAAAATTGTATAGACTGGCACTCTGGGAGGCTGAAGCAAGTGGATTGCTTGAGCTCAGGAGTTTGAGACCAGTATGAGCAAGAGGGAGACCCCCGTCTCTCCTAAAAAAAAAAAAAAATAGAAAACCTAGCTGGAGCTCAAGACTTTGAAGTTGTTATGAGCTATGATGACACTATGGCACTCTAGTCTGGGCAATAGAGTAAAACTGTCTCAGAACAAAAAAAAAAATTTTTTTTTTTTTGGTAGAGACAGAGTCTTTATCGCCCTCAGTAGAGTGCTGTGGCGTCACACACCTCACAGCAACCCCCAACTCCTGAGCTTAGGCGATTGTCTTGCCTCAGCCTCCAGAGTAGCTGGGACTATAGGCACCTGCAACAACACCCGGCTATTTTTTGTTGCAGTTTGGCCAGGACTGGGTTTGAACCCACCACCCTCAGTATATGGGGCCGGCACCCTATTCACTGAGCCACAGTCACCACCCCCCAAAAAATTTTTAAACAGATTCACAACATACTTGCACCAAAGTGTAAACTCTTAAGTGACTATTTAATAAATACATACATACTCTTTTTTTTTTTGAGACACAGTCTCACTCTGTTGCCCTAAGTAGAGTGTCATGGTATCATAGCTCACAGCAGCCTCAAACTCTCTTGGGTTCAAGCGATCCTCCAGCCTCAGCCTCCCGAGTACCTGTAGCCCTCCACAACACCTGGCTAGTTTTACTATTTTTAGTAGAGACAGGATCTTGCTCTTGTTCAGGCTGATCTCAAACTTCTGAGCTCAAGCAGTCTTCCTGCTTTGGCCTCCCAGAGTGCTAAGATTATAGGCATGAGCCACCGCCCTCATCCATACATATTCTTTTTTAATATCAAAAATACAGAAACAAAATTGCAGTCATTTTGTGGCTCCCTCCAACACATACACATAGAAGTAATCACTCCACTGGCCCAAATGTAGTGCAGGGTGGCATAGTAGCTAGGAGTATAGACTCCAAGCCAGGTGCAGTAGCACACACTGATAGTCCCAGCTTCTCTGAATTGCTTGAACCTAGGCATCCAAGGCCAGCCTGGGCAGCATAGAAAGATCTATCTCTAAAATAAAAAAAAAAAAAAAAAGGCACAGACTCTGAAGCCAGATACCTGAGATCTGTCAAAGTTATCTTGGACGAATTCCCAGCCGTCTCTGTGTTTTAGTGTCCTTAGCAGGAAATCAGGAATAATAATATTGCCTACCTCATATATTAAGTGAACAGAATATGAAAAGTGCTTAGAATGGTACCTGGAACTTAGAATTGTATAAGTACCAGTTATTACTGGACACTTTTTCAGGGTTTAGCTAAGCCCCTCCTAAAAAGCCCCCATAGATCCAGGTTAAGAACTACAAGGGGTGGAAGGTCAGGGACTTCCTGAGCTGAAAGGAGGTGTCTCAGAGACAGAGAACCTGACTGCTTCAGACAGGCTCTCCCTGGGGCTTCCCCCTCCCCCATCCCAACCCACACCCTTTCCTATTTACACCCAGAGGAGGCAGCCTGCTCGCTGACTCACCCTTGGCTCAGACCAAGCCATTGTTCTGAGTTAGGGGGTAGTAAGATGAGGAACATGGCCTAAGGGGACTGGGGGATGTCAACTCTGAAAATGACCCATAGACAGTGACATCCAGACACATGGCATGCCAGGCTGAGAGATGGCAAGCAAGGGGTCAAGATCATAATTCCAACACAGTGCACAGAAACATTCGCAGGACACTGACACTCATGTCCAGGTGTCCCAGACACACAGTCCCATGGAGTCTGGCACACAGTCAAGACCTTTTATGTTCCCAGGGTCAGAGTCCCACCTAGGGAGGGAAATGTACTCACACTCCACACATCACACATGCCCAGGCTCACCCAGGCTTGCACATTCTCACTCAAACTCATCATGGTCAAGTCTTCTTTGTCTTGCTGTATACACACACACACACACACACACATAATCAGTCATCCAGTCCTGCGTACCGTCACCTTAGTCTGCCTTTTTCTCTCTCTGCTTCTAACGTTCACACACCAATCATTGCCTGTCTCTTATAAATATATAGACTTACCACGCAGTCTTATGAACACCCAGAAATGTGTCTGTCTTTTTCACTTCCTCGCACACATGCACATACTCACTGCCATGTGATCTCAGAGTGCTATACTTCAGTTGGACAGCCTCAGTTCTCTTTCATGAGAATCTGTTTCTTTCTCTCAAACTCTCACTCACGCTCCACTCAGTCTCACAAATAGCATACATAACCTGGATCATCACAGTGACACCAAAGTCTTTCTCAAACACAAGGGCACACACAGATGTCTTTGCCAGGATCACTATGTCACACAGTCTGTTTATATCAGTCTCTGGTCTTTCTCTTATACACACAAAGATTAAGATAATCTAGCCAGTCCTGCTCAAGTACACTACACACAGACACACACACACACGTATACCACTCACCCAAACTGCCTCACAGATAACACACACTGGTCACAATGTCACCCAGAGTATCACACACATATCCAAACACTTCTCAGTTTCTATCTTCCTAGTGCTCTCCCCCCTCCCATCACACACATACAGAAGTAAGAAGGATGCCCAGGTCAGATCTGCTGCCAGTATCTGGAGAATCTCCAGCAAAGGCACTCACCCCACCCTTTTTCCCCAGTCCCTTGCTCCCCACTCCTCTTGGGGTTGTCTTTGACCCACTCTGCTCTCCCCTGTCCACACCTCTGTCCTCCCCCACCCCTCAGCCCTCCATCTGGTGGGTCCAGGCAGGCACTCAGGCCTCTTTTCTGCCTCCCCCATCCCCCAGCCCTTCCCCATCCTCCAAAAGCCCAGAGGCGGACGCTGCAGGCTTTCAGGGGTTGCCATGGCAATGGGGCCTCGTCCCTCGTCCCCCTGGGGGTGGGCCGAGGACCCGGCCAGCTAGACTGATAAGGGGGTTCCAGTTACTGTGGCAACCGTTGCAGGCCTGAGCTCTCCACTTCTAGAAGGGGGGTGTGTGTGAGTGAATGGTTGCCAAAGCAACCTGGGAGCCCACAAGAACTGGGAAGAGGCAGCTGAGCCCTGTCTCTCCTAGCCAGGGCTGCTGTGGGCATTGCAAAGCACTTAAGCATCATTCTTCCATCCCCGGAGGTTGTTTTAAGGCAGTGCAGATTATAAAACAAGACTTCTACTCATCTCTCAGTTATCTATCATGGCCTGAGAGCCCATGCCAGCTTACGCAGGCTCACTGTGTGGCCTAGGTCAGCCAGGGCCCCTCTCTGGGCATCAATTTTCCTCTTCCATTAAGTAGAAATGTCCCCATTCCTGGGTACCCTAGCTCAGTGATTAGGGTGCTGGACACATGCTCCAGGACTGGTGGGTTCAAACCCAGCCTGGGCCTGCTAAACAAACAAAAAAATAGCTGGGCGTTATAATGGGCACCTGTAGTCCCAACTACTAGGGAAGCTGAGGCAAGAGAATCACTTGAGGCAAGAAAATCACTTGAGCCCAAGAGTTTGAGGTTGCTGTGAACTATGACGCCCCGCACTCTACCAAGGGTGACAAAGTGAGACTCTATCAATAAAAAAGAAAGAAAAGAAATGTCCACATCCCTGATTAGTGTGCCCTCTGTCTCCTTACTCAACAGGAACCACAGAGCGGGTATGTCTAGTACAGGGCACAGCAGAGGCCTTGAATGCTGTGCACAGCTTTATTGCTGAGAAGGTCCGAGAAATTCCACAAGCGATGACCAAGCCTGAGGTGGTCAACATCCTTCAACCCCAAACCACGATGAACCCTGACAGAGCCAAGCAGGTCAGCTGGGGCAGAGACTGGGTTGCTGTAAAGCTGGTGATGTTATAAAGAGACACTTCTCATACGTCAATGCATTACTATGGAGGTTCAATGGGATAAAGCTGATAAAAAGTTTATCAGTCAAGTACTACATTGTGGTGGTTAGTTTTGTTACTAGGGAGTCAGCCCTGGTAATATAGAAGGAAATCTAGACCATTTGGAGTGGACTTGATTCAGAAAGGGAGTGAAGCTCTGGGAGAATGTGGTCCAACCTTCCACTTAAGCTCCTTTCGTGTTATTCTCCGGATCCTCTCCTCCCTTCTACCTCATCCCATTGTCTTGCTGAATAATCTGTCTCTCACTTCCTGTCCTCACCGGAAGTGATGTAAGTGACGGTCCAGCCACATCCAGAATAGTTTAGAAATGACCTCTCTGTCTCCCTCTCCCAGTAATTACCCTATGGGGTAGAGAAGGTGTTTTATTAGGGAGAGAAGGGATGTGCCCTCTCCTAAACTGCCCTCTCTAGGAAGGGATGGGAGCGGGAGAAAAGCTCGTCGGTTGCCTTAGTTACGGGGAAGCGGTGGCGTAGGGGCGTGGCAGGGAGCAGGGTAATCGGTCCGGCCTCTCTGGTTGCCATGACGACAGTACGTGCTGAGCAGGTGGTCTCGCAGCAAAACTCCTGGCTATGCCATCCGGACCTGGGAGGGGGCAAAAGGAATGGAACGAGGGCTGGCTGCTCGTGGTCCCCGTTTTTTCTCCCCTCCCCATTCCCATATACATCTTTGCTCTATACAAAGGGGCGGGAAGCCCCGGGCTGGCAAGCTGGCCACTTGCAAGGATTCCATAACGTCTGCCTAGAGGCAAAAAAAAACAGGAGAGAGGACCTCCGTAAAAGAAATCTTTAATTCTTGGGTCTGTCGTTGCCTTGAGATGGGGCAGACCATGGACCTGAGCTCCTCCAAGCTCAGGGGGAAACGGTGGACTGAGAGCGCTGGAGGAGCGCTGCAGCTGGTGGATCCTGGATCGCTCCCCAAAATAGACTGCGGGCTTGGGGCGTGGAGCGCGGCTGCTGTCCTTGGTGCTGAAGCGACTCTGCTCTTGAGGCCTCACCAGGCCTCTCCCGCATCCCTTCCCACCAGCGGACACATCTTATGCAGAGCTGACAGAGAAGCAAAGCCATTGCCTTTTCCCTCCATCCTGGTCGTGGCCACAAGGGACTCAGGGTTCATCGGGAGTTTGTGAGTGTTGTAGGGAAAATGGGGTCAGCACCATCTGTGCCTGAGCCTTCCATGGCCTCCTTCTAATCCACAGGAACTCTGAGACCATGAAATCGAAAAGTTAGAGAACCAAGAATTCTTCTTTGCCTTATTACTCAGAGGTTCCAAAGACTGAGAGAAGTAATGGCTGAAGGCCTAGGCTCTGGGGTCAGATGTTGAATTCAATCGTACTTTATAACTTAATCCCACCTGTGTGACCTTGGGCAAGTGACTTGATTTCTCTCCATGGCTTATTTTTCTCATACGTAAAATGAGATTCATGATGGTGCCTATTTAAGGGTGAAAGGTAGTGTTCATTGATATTTGAAAAGCACTTAGCTTGTGTGCATAAGGTCTAGAAAGTTCTCAAAAAATGTTAGCTGTTGGCTTGGCGCCTGTAGCTCAGCAGCTAGGGTGCCAACCACATACACCGGAGCTGGCAGGTTTGAATCAGCCCTGGCCTGCCAAACAACAAGGATAACTACAACCAAAAATAGCCAGGCATTGTGGTGGGGGCCTGTAGTCCCAGCTACTCAGGAGGCTAAGGCAAGAGAATCGCTTAAGCCCAAGAGTTTGAGGTTGCTGTGAGCTGTGATGCCACAGCACTCTACCAAGGGCGACAAGTGAGACACTGTCTCAAAAAAAAAAAAGTTAGTTGTTGTTGTTATTATGGGAGGGGTTGTTTTTGTTTGTTTGTTTGTTTGTTTTCTGATAGATTTTCACTCTGTTGCCCAGGCTGAAGTGTCATAGCATCAGCCTAGCTCACAGCAAGCTCAGACTCCCAAGTTCAAGCGATCCTCCTGCCTCAGCCTCCCCAGTAGATGGGACTACAGGTGCCTATCACAATGCCCAGCTAATTATTTCTATTTTTAGTACAGATGGGCTTTCATTATGTTGCTCAGACTGCTCTCACATTCCTGAGCTCACAGGATTCTCATGCCTCCAAATTCCAGTATTACAGGATTTTTTTAGTCAAGAGACATCTCTACTTTCTTTCTGCCTTATATTTGCAGTGTTACTCAGGGCCTCTTTCCTCTATAGGCCTCAATTTCTCTTTATTATTATTTTTTTTAAGAGACAAGTCTCACTCTGTCCCCCTTGGTAGAGTGCCATGGCATCATAGCTCACAGCAACCTCCAGCTTTTGGGCTTAGGCAATTCTCTTGCCTCAGCCTCCCAAATAGCTGGGACTACAGGCGCCTGCCACAACACCCAACTATTTTTTTTGTTGTTGTTGTTGCAGTTTGGCCAGGGCTGGGTTCAAACCCGCGACCCTCGGTATATGGGGCTGGCGTGCTACTCACTGAGCCATAGGTGCTGCCCATTTCTCTTTCTTTACAATGTGACACTTGGGCCAAACCAGAGAATATAAATAGAAATGACTCCAAGGTAAAGAAAGAGAACATAAAGAGTTGAGGACTATGGTCTTCTGGCAAGAATATGCCATCTTTAAAGGAGACAGCTACTACTCACCTCCATCCAGTTTTTACCCTTTGGGAACATGGACATAACGTTGCCACATCTTCTCAATTTTTCAAAAGAAGCCAAAAAAATATTTTTTTGAGACAGAGTCTCACTCAGTCGCCCAGGGTAGAGTGCCATGGTGTCATAGTTCATGGTTGGCTCTGAGTTTTTTGGGTTTTGTTTGTTTGGTTTTTGAGACAGAGTCTTATTTGGTCACCCTTCGTAGAGTGTGTGGCCTCTTAGCTCACAGCAACCTCCAACTCATAGGTTCAAGCTATTCTCTTGCTTCAGCCTCCCAGGCAGCTGGGACTACAAGTGCCCACCACAGCATCAGCTATTTTTTATTTATTTATTTATTTTATTAAATCATAGCTGTGTACATTAATGCAGTCATGGAGTACAGTGTGCTGGTTTTATATACAATTTGAAATATTTTCACCAAACTGGTTAACATAGCCTTCATGGCGTTTTCTTAGTTATTGTGTTAAGACATATATATATATTTTGTTGTTGTTGTTGTTTGTTTGTTTGTTTGTTTGTTTGTTTTTTAGACAGTCTCACTTTGTCGCCCTTGGTAGAGTGCTGTACCTCTACCAGCAACCTCAAATTCTTGGGCTTAAGCAATTCTCTTGTCTCAGCCTACCGAGTAGCTGGGACTACAGGTGCCCACCACACTGCCTGGCTATTTTTAGAGATGGGAGTCTCGCTCTTGCTTAGGCTGTCTGAAACCTGTGAGCTCAGGCAATCCACCTGCCTCGGCCTCCCAGAGTGCTAGGATTACAGGTGTGAGCCACCGTGCCCGGCCTGTTTTTATTTTTTATTTATTTATTTTGAGGCAGAGTCTCACTGAGTCACCCTGGGTAAAGTGCCATGGTGTCATAGCTCATAGCAACCTCACACTTTTGGGTTCAAGTGATCCTTTTGCCTCAGCCTCCCAAGTAGCTGGGACTACAGGCGCCTGCCATGACTCCTGGCTAGGATTTTTTTTTTCATGTTTAGTAGAGACAGGGTCTTACTCTTGCTCAGGCTGGTCTTGAACTCCTGAGCTCAAGAGATCCTCCCTGCTCAGACTCCTAGAGTGCTAGGATTACAGGTGTGAGCCACCATGCCCATCCAGAAGCCATAAATTTTTGAAATCACCTGATTTAAAAGATTGGCTCTGGTTTTGGGGGGGGGGTGTTTGTTTTTTGAGATAGAGTCTTATTTGGTTACCCTTGGTAGAGTGCCATGGCATCTTGGCTCACAGCAACCTCCAACTCAAAACTCTTACCTCAGCCTCCCAAGTATGAGACTACAGATGCCACAATGACTAGCTAGTTTTTCTATTTTTAGTAGAGACAGGGTCGCAAGCTTTGCTCAGCTTGGTCTCAAACTCCTGAGCTCAGGCATTCCACCCACCTCGGCCTCCCAGAATGCTAGGATTACAGGTGTGAGCCATTGTGACTGGCTTGGCTCTGTTTTTAAAATACTATGCAGGTCAAAGAAAATATGGCTATAAGATAGCTCTGGTCTGGGGGTGACCAGTTTGCCACCTATGAACTATACCCATGGCTCTGAGCCCTAGCTGGATCATCTGAGCAGTTTAAAGTGTAGATGCCTGGGTCTCCCCTCCATCCCAAACTACTGAATTAGAATTTCTGGTAAAGCCCGGGAATATGAGCATGGACTCTAGCCTTGGATCACATACCGACTCTACTATTCATTAGCTGTGTGACCTCACACAAATTATTCTCCGTTCCTCTGTTTCCCAATCTAGAAAATGCGGTTATAATAGCACTCATCTTCTACAGTCATTGTGAAGCCTAAATAAGTTACTATAGGACACCATCTAGAAAAGCACCTGGCAGATGATAAGCACTATGTTAGTTGTCGCTGCTATTGCTGTTTTTGTTTTTGTTGTTGTTAGTCATAGTAGTATTTGAAAATTTCCATGGGGTTGCAAATCACTGGAGCACATGGTCTCTGAGGTCTTTCTGGCTCCAAAACTAATACAATTCTATGTGATTCCAAGATTCTAGGCATATATTATCTAACATTCTACTGTTGTAACTTTCTGGGACTCCAAGATTCTATGGGTCTGCACGTGAGGATCTCTCTAAGATGTTGTCTTCAACAATTCTGAGTCGATCATGAAGGCAGCTGCCATTGTCTTAGGGCTTGCAATGTACCAAGCACAGAGCATTACTGTAGTCATTGAATCTTCTCAGTAATTATATATATAAGGTAGATGTGGTTATCCTAATATTGGAGATGAGGAAACTGAGGCACAGAGAGGTGGAGGCATCACACAGTTACTTTGGAA